TCTTCCTCTTCCAACAATAATAACAACAACGCGAATAATTTATTTGTGTCCATTTTTAGTACCTTTCGTTTGCATTCATAATACATAAATAGCACGTACAGACATAGAGAAGGTCTAATTTTCTATATTTAACAAACCACCTATGTCGAAAATCGCTGTCCTCAGCGGTCGACGGATTGTCCGCTCACCGCGACGGAGTGTTCAAAGAAACCAAGGCTTAAGGATTTTATGCTGAAGGGTATTCCTCCCTGTTCTATAGGCTCAGCTAGTCCATCAGGTTGGATGTTAACCGAAATTTTTAATCGATATTTGAAATATTTTATACGATATTCAGGAGCAACCAAGGAAAATCCTGTGCTCTTAATAATGGACAACCACGAGACCCACATTTTTGTCAGAGGTGTTGATTTAGCAACAGCAAACGGCGTAGTGTTGTTCACAATTCCCCCTCACACTAGTCATAAACTCCAGCCATTGGATCGTGGAGTGTATGGCCCATTAAAGAAATTTTGTAACGATGTCTGCAATTCTTGGTTATTACAAAATCCAGGAAAACGGATAACGATTTATGATATTTCAGAAATATTCGGAAAGACTTATCCATTGGCCTTTTCTTTAAAAAATATTACATTCGGGTTTAGTTCAACTGGTATATATCCTTTTAATAAACATAAATTTGACGAAACTGATTTTTTGGCAGCATCAGTCACTGATCTAAATCCCAGATTGCAATCAGATAATTTAAATACAGAACCTAGTTGCTCTTCTGCAAAAAATATTGCAGAAATTTCTCAGGAACCTCAAATTGCTTCTTGTGAAGTAATCGAAAAATCAAATGATCAGCCAAGTGGCTCAGGGATGACGGCTAATGAAAGATGTGTAACTCATTCAGTACCTTTTGTAACTCCTGAAACTGTAAAACCGTCCCAGAAGTAACAGCGTTTCAGACTAAAAGAAAAGGAAGGAAAAAGGCAGTGTCTGAGGTTCTTACTACTACCCCTATTAGAGACAGAATTTCGGAGGAAGAAGAAACTAAAAGAATAAAAAAAGAAGTGCATGTAAAAAGAGAAGCGAAACAAAAAGTGAAGAGAAATTTAACAGAGGTTCCTTTACATTTGTTGAAAGAAACAAAATATTTAAAAAATAATGATTTCATTTTAGTAAAATTTGCGACGAAAAAAACTATGAAATATTATGTTGCGCAAATACAAGAAATGGGTAATATTGAATCGACAGTCTCTTATTTGAGTCACAAACTTGGAAGGTTTGTCTTTCCAGACGTTGAAGATGTGGCAATATTCAACTAGTTTTTATATTACAACAAACCAGCTGTTTTGTTGTTTTATTTGATCTACATTTTGTTACAGTGTATATGTATAATAGGTGTGACCTCTGTACCCCACGACTATGTTCACTGTACCCCTGATTGTGGGGTACAATGGCCAGTTTTTGCGTGTAAGAAAAACATTTTTTTCTGGATACCTAGAGTTATTTAAATAAATACTTGCTGCAATTAATAACAGTCTTATGTTCCAATAGACCCTGTCTAAAATTTTTAATTGTTTGTTTGATAATTATGCATCTATTTAACAATTTCCAAAAAAATGGCCACTGTGCCCCGCTCTCCCCTATATTATTTAGTACATGTATTTGTATTAACAAAACTTGGAATAAAGATTTATGACTTTAATTAATTATTGTAACACTCCATTTTCTTACCTTTAACGACTCTAGTCAACTACCTGTCGAGTGCCAAGTGTCAACTCTTCTTTTTGTGACTACTGTGGCCTCTTACTTACATCCTATAACAGAGGAACGAATTTTCAAATTTTTCCTACAGGAGCATACTTTTTTATAATATGAACCTATACCGGGTGTTCATTTTAAAGTGTTACAGTCAAATACCGCCGAAAATATGCATTTTAGAAAAAAAAGTTTCAGACAAAAGTTTTATGGTTTTTTGGGGGAAATATTTTGGCTAAATTCATTTTTTTGTAGTTGGCCATAATATGGCCATATCGAGGTGGACTTTGTTTTTTTAAATGAGAATCCCATTTTTTTCTTACATATTCTTAAAGTAAATAAAAAAATAAGAAACTTTTGAGGGAAATATTTTTTTTATTGGACTTTTACTTTTTGAGTAACAGCTACTTGAAAATGTTGCTGCGCGAAAAAAAAGTTGGCCATATTATGGTTAGCTATAAAAAACGATTTTAGCCAAAAGTTTTTCCCCACAAAACTATAAAACTTTCGTCTGAAACGTTTTTTTTTTTATAAAAAGTGGAATAGCTGTAACGCTTTAAGTTGAACACCCGGTATAGATCCTGCTCCATGTTTCATGAGTACCTTTCAGATGAAATAGGCTTTGTAACATACTGAATTTTTATATTCTATAAAAATACATTCATAGGTATTTAAAAATCGTATTGCATTGCAGTCAGCTGCTTTTAAATTAAAGAAAATTAAACTGTATAAATGCGTGCCTTTATACAAGATCGCGTGATGAATTGGTACGAGAATTAGACCGTTTTATAGCGTGTTTTGCCCCTTTTTCGTCGGCATTCGCGTCCTTATAGTTGGCGCAATGATAATCAGGGTGCTACGCCATTACAAAATGCATTATTTTATTTATGATTATTCATTATCGCCCTGGAATATTCAAAGTCACGATCGTAAGGTTGATTTCAATAACAGCGGTTTTTTTTAATGCTACTTTTCTGGTATTTAATCCTAGAATTGTAAACGTATATAGAACAGGGATCGGAAACCTTTTTTTTGTGGAGAAACATTTAACGTGTATTAAAGAAATAAAAACAAAATCAAAAGAAGTACTAAAAATTTGAAAAACAACGTAAAGAAAAGGTGAAGTTAAAGCTTTAAGGTGGGTCAAACCTTTCTAAAAAAAATGTTTTTCAACTTAACATTTTACACCGTACGATAATTTACTCTTACAAATACTTTAAACCTGTGTAGAAAATAGTAACTTTTTTTAGATCTCCTTAAACCTCGGCAGACTATATTTTACATAAGTCAGAGCTCATGTACTGATACCACCCAATTTATTAGCGTTATTAGCGTTCAACGAACGTTTTCTACAGACAGCGAATTTAATATGGACGTTTCCTTGAGGGCCAATGAACGTTCGCTATCCATCGCTGAATTTGATTCATTGGCGTTCGTTGGCCCTGTCTGTAGGCACCTTATGCCGACTCCAAACATTGGAGCCTGTTTAAATCCATTCATGAGACGACCATGGCGAAGAGACACTGCACGTTTTCATGGTAATACGTCCGTCAGTAAAAAAAAATTATTCAAAAAAAAATTGTAAAATGTCATGTAAAATAAATATTTTGTAAAACTTAAAAATAAAGTTCTCATTATATCTAAAGGTCCTTCGAGTATTTAAAATTGTCTTTCACGTATTCAGAGCCAACATTGGCGCTGGCCTTGCCGATCGTTGAGTTTCATGTTCGTTGTAGCTTCCATACCACATACTTTGATTGTCTTTTACTATACGGAGAATGGTCGCACTGCGCAGATTTCTGAGTGCCTTTTAAAAGGAGATAGAAAACTCCGCCATTTTGATCCCTTTTTACGTGTTGCCTACATCTTGGCGCAATATTTTTAATAGGTGCGTTTTAATCATCCGCTTCTGCTTCGGAATTGTCGGTTTTCTTATTTTAATCTGACAGGTTAAAAAGACTAAACCGACAATTCCGGAAGCAGAAGGGGATGATTAAAACGCACCTGATATTTTGCTTGCTGCTGCCAGTGTCAGTGAATATTATTTTTGGAGTCACAGTTTATTGCTAAAGAATCAGTTAGCTCACTCGGACCAGTTGAAAGTTCCAAAATAACATCCACTCCAGGGATACAAATTCAGGATACGCAGAAGACTGCTGTTTTATTATAGGCGGTTGTCATATATTGTATTATCCGAGTTGCGCAGTGTATAAACTGGAACATTGAGATCAAAAGTGCCGACACAGAGTGAGCGATCTGATTCTTTAGCTATAAACTGTGGCATAGGAATCAAAATGGCCGCGCCCTATGTTGGGCGTGTCGAACCTCTCTCTTGCACCGTATAGTAATCAAAGTATGTTTTCCATGCATTGGAGAAGAATAATTAGGCATTCCAAACAAATGAATTGCCAGTGGGAAGGTTTGGTATATCTAAGGGTGGCGACATACGGTGTATTCTATATACTTTACGTAAAATCATGAATAATGGATTACATTTAAATATTTTATGTCAAACACAATAAAAATAATATTTAAAAAACTTACCTATACATTTCTTCATAAATTGGCATAAATTGGCGACTACTACTTCGAATAAAAATAGCGTCCAAGTTGCAGACTATGTCGCTACCCCCCTTAGATATACAAGAATTTCCCACTGGCACATATTGTTTGACAGGTCGTTGGAATGCCTAACCGTCAGAGCCAACGTCAAATCCACTCATGTTGCGCAACCTACTCATTGGCGTGCATGAATACTTTATCCAATTTTTGTAGATCGTATGTTTTTAAAATAACATATGCAACGAAACATATCTAACAAAATCAGTCTTCACAAAAATTACGTTTTCCAATAAAAAATTATGTACAAAAACAAATGTAGTATTCTCTAATCAATCCCTTTATTATTTATTGTTGTTTTTGAAATTGTAGGTGTTCGTTTTTGGAACTTTTACTCTTATTTCTGAAATAATATTTGTATTATTTTTAAAATTTCATGTCAATCATAACTATTTCTATTTATACAAAAAAGCATACATATCGGAATTTGAATAAAAACCGACATCCGTTGTTTATATCCTCTCAATGCTTTGACCTGACCGCTAGCGGAAACAATATTTAAAGAAAACAGTTTTGAGTCAAACACTATAATAAACAGTATTAATCAGGGTTCGCTTCCAAGATATGTAACGGTTCTGATCTCCAATTAGGTCCATTTTTAACTGCCGCCTTAATGTTTTTTTCGTGTTGTTTTCCAGCCAAACGGTAAGCTGTACGAAAGCTTCAGTGTATTTTGTCCCTGTGATCAATTAGAGAACATACGTTTGCTGACAGACGAAGACATGTTGATCGACTGGACTCAACCCATTTACATGAACTTCACTCACGCTAAAATCATGGAAAAAATAGAGGAACTTTATGGTGGAACAATGGAGAAGCTGACGGGCGAGGTATATTGTCAGATAGATGAAAAAATCGGAAACGAAGAGGAATGTAATATCACGTAAGCAATATTTTTTTATTTATAGCATCGAAATTCATTCAGCAGGAATGAATATTATACACATTTGAGTTGGTATCATTTTTGTGCTATAAAATCGTATTTTCATCAATAATTAGAGTGAAACTACTTACAATGTTAAATTGAGTAAAGTCATTTATATAAAGAAGGAATAAAATGGGATTCTACATAGAACCCTGAGGGACTGCCCAACTTATATCTAAAACTTGAGAGTACATAATAACTCTTACCATTTGCTTACGTTATGAAACATAAGATTTTATCATTGCTACGTCGTCGATTCCTTAAACTAGAAATTTTGCAATTATACTGTATGATTGACACAATGAAACAACTTAGTTAAATCACAGAATAACTCCTCTACAGCTTCGTTTAATTTAATTGTAAAGTAAAAAAGTTCAAGATAAAAAAGTATCCTAATAAAAAAAGGCTATATAGCTGATAATTGATTTAGGCAATCAATAATGCATATGCGTAATTTTCGTTGTATTTTCTCTAAAAACCGTCCTTCATATTAAACTGGATGGCTATATGTCATAAGCCCTACCCCTAATTTCTAAGCCGATATGGGCAAACAAAACGGTTAGTGCGCATGACAATTTAGGTGCCAGACTGTCAATTTCAAGCAATCTATTTCACCTTTTCCACGGGCATATTACGATAAGTTGGAACATTTGTTTTAGTAGCGTATTAATTTTTTAAGTGATTTTCTTATATTGAAAGGTGTTGTAGTTGAATGTAATAAATGTTAAATTTAATTTTGGTGTTACCTTTTAGTGTATGTATACACGTAGCTGTGGGCGGTAGCCTGTCAAATATCACCTCGCTATTTATACGTGTGTCTTTTGTTCCATCAGTTTTGGATTTTGGAATCGCTGTTTCACCTATGCGAGCTTGAACGCCTTGTCACAGTTTATAGCTAAATAATCAGTTCGATCACTCTGCGTCGGCACTTTTGATCTCAATGTTCCAGTTTATACACTGCGCAACTCGGTTTTGTATCCCTGGCGCATACAGAATCAAATCATAACCAATACAATACATGACAACCGCCTATATTCAAACAACAGTCTTCTGCGCATCCTGAATTTGTATCCCTGGAGTGGATATTATTTTGGAACATTCAACTGGTCCAAGTGAGCTAACTGATTCTTTAGTAATAAACTGTGGCCTTGTGTTGGTATCGGTTTATTTGTGGTTGACCGTTGAAATAAATAACAGGTTGACATTTTGGATTAAAATTTGTGTTTATAATTTTATTTATACCTTAATTTGAAAGTATTTATTTTTAAAAGCCCATTTTTTTGTTTTTTCCAGAATAGAATAAATAAATAAATAGTTAATTAACTCCTAAATTCTGTTTAATTTCCGAATTCCAGCTGTCAAGTGTCACTATCTAATCGGAAAACACCGACCTTCATATTAAACTCGATGGCTATATGCCATAAACCATACTCCTATTTTCTATATGGGTGAAAAACCTATTTTATATCTGGAAACAAAATCGCTACTTTTCATTGCTCAATTTGCTTAAGTTAGTCGCAGGATTGGATCAAGGGGTTTCCACCAACGCCGTTATGTGTGACTTAACCAAGGCCTTCGACTGCGTGACCACTGATATTTTAATTAGAAAAATGAAATTCTACGGCCTCAGAGGCCAAGTCTTAAACCTATTTAATTCATACCTTGTAGGTAGGTTTCAGTATGTAAACTACAACAACCTGAATTCTAGCCTGACCGCTATAAAAAATGGAGTACCCCAAGGTTCAGTTTTGGGCCCTATATTGTTCTTATTATATGTTAATGACTTGCCTTCCATTGTAAGCAGAGTTCAGTTGTGCTATTTGCGGATGACACCACCATACTAAGAAGAGGTGATGAAGCGATGAGCAGAGAGAGTTTAGATGTGACAAAAATTTGATTTGCTGCTAATAAGCTAAAAATCAATGAAAATAAAACTCAAAATATATTTTTTAGTACGGATAAATTTCTAACTAAATCAGAACCAGTTAAACTTCTAGGCATAACACTTGATATGAGTTTAAACTGGTCCAGTCATATTGACACTCTCTGCTCTAAGCTTTCGACTCAGTTATTTCTTATGAGGCAGTTGCGAAGTGGTATCAAATGTAACAGAGTAATGGCCATGGCATACTATGCTTTAATACACAGTCATCTGTCTTACGGGGTGATACTCTGGGGCTGTTCAAGCAATGTTGATGCGCCCACTGTTGTGAAGTATTTAAAAAGTACAAGATTCTCCCGCCTCCCTGTATTTATCTATGATGCAGATAGATAGAAATCTGCCTACCATTACTAGACATTCTGATCTGCAAGGGTATAATACTAGGGGAGCGGATAATCTTGTAACTTTATATTCTAGAAATAGCACAACCCAAAATAATAAAATCGATATTAGATTGTATATTAAATTAGATTTAATTTTCAAAGATAAGCACATCAAGGACATGTCTGTAAACAAGTTTTACCAATTTGTAAAAACTTTTTTTGCCGAACATTGTTTCTACATTGTTGCGGAGTTCTTGGAATATAATATCTAGAAACCGTCGATTTTGGGCAATCAAACTAGGCAACCAATTTTCGGGCACTTGTAGAAGGATCATCTTCTACGGCAGTTAAAATATTTTTTTTGACACTTTCACGGCGATCCATTTGAATTTCACAACTGTAACTGGCTTTGCCTAACTTTCCAATAAATAACAAGCCGTATTTTTTTACTTGTCTCTCTCAAACGATGATCCACTCTTTCAAAGGTTTTCCTATCAGGAATTCTTCGATTTGGAAATCGTTCTTCGTAAATCCTTCTGGCCTCTAAGGCATTACAAGTTGCAAGCCCATACATTAAATGCATGTCAGCATATTCATTACACGCCTGGTAAGGATCTTACCTTTTTGCAGGCTCCACTATGCTATGATCCTGAACCGGATTGTAATTCCATGTTTTCACAAGCTGCCAGCTTTGGGTTAACGATCGACGATATAAAGAAATAAGCAGCATTTAACACTGTTTATTTTTACATGAAGAACACCACACTACATTTTATTAATAATTTAAACTATGTACACATATCGTAGTCAGAACATTTATAATTGGGTCGCCATTAAAGCGTCGATCTGTATATGCTATGATGGGCGAGGCAAGTCTGAAGGACATAGGTCTGTTAGAATTTAACTTGACCTGTTTCCTTTTTTCCTTTATTTAGCTAGTTTGCTAATTTCACAATATACAAATATAGTAAACATATACATATAAGTCAAAACAGATAATTTAGATACAATTAAAACTAACTAAAATTTTACAGGTTGTTACAGTTTCTGGAGAAATATTCATCAGTTAAGAAATCTGTCACTTTGACTTTAAATGTAGTTACAGACGTTACTGATTTAATTTTCTCTGGAAGTGCGTTATATTGATTTATACCTTTAAAAAATAGTGAATTTTGTGTTGCACTCTTAACAACTGTTTCAATATAAAAATGATTTCTGTTCCGCGTTGGATAATTGTGCACATTAGAGTGATAATTAAGCTTCTCTTTTAGGTACATTGGAAGTAACTTGTGTTTGATTTTATAAATAAAAATTAACGCATTCTGTAATAAGAGACTTTTGATTGGCATCCACCTCAAAGTTTCAAACATTAGATTAATGGAAGTATATTTTGAACAGGATAATATTATTCTCATAGATCTATTCTGCAGCTTCTGTAGTCGGTTCAACTCATTTTGATTTAGTAAACAGAGTATTGTAGAGCAATAATTAAAGTGAGGTAGAATTATAGTATTATATATAATACATTTAGTCCACTGTACTAAATGAACTTCTAAATAGGAAATTTAACTTAAATGCAATAGTCTTGATAACAGTGTTGGCATGATCTATGAATCTCATCTGCTTAAGTATTTGAATTTTTCTACTAACTGTATATAATTTCCTCCAATTGTTATGTTATATTGTTTATCAACAAACTGTGTATAGTTATAGTTGCTACTTATCAGCATACATTTTATTTTATTTTATTTGTGTTAATTTTCAACAAATTATTGCCATACCATTTATAAATATGTTGCAGTGTTTCATTAACAACTCTTACCAAGTTATCTAAATCCTTACAAGAAAAATATATTAGGGCATCATCAGCAAACAGGTGAATGTCACATTGACCCTTAAAATCAACAATGTCATTGATATACACTAAAAACAACAGGGGACCCAATATACTTCCCTGCGGAACACCTCTTATATAGTTAATTTCCTTTGACAAAATGGCATTTACTTTTAACTTCTGTTTCCTCTTACTAAGATAATCCACACACCACTCCAATGCTTGCTCTACTATACCCATACTTTTCAATTTTTTTATCAAACGGTTTTGATCAATAGTCTCGAATGCCCTTTGAAGATCTATAAAAACTGCCAATACTAGATAGTTTTTAGCAAATTTATATTTCCAATCGTATAAAACACACTGGATAGCTGACTCACAGTTGTTTGCTTCTGAAACCCGATTGTATTCTAGTAATAAGTTTTAAGGTTTAGCTGTTCAAAAATGTTATTGTTGTCTTTATCATACAGGATTAAAAATATTAGCATTATTGTGTTAAACTTAGTCCGTCCCTGATAAACTAAATAAGCCAAATGTGTTTAAAATGCTCCATTTTACGGAGACTTATCTAGTATCCATCCTATTTAAAAAATATTAAATTTAACAAAGGTCGTGCAAAACTATTAAAAAATATATATTTTCAGGGGTGTTCATTATGGGACCATATCTTCGAAACCTGTATATTAGACAAAAGAGTGATATTTGGATCTTCTGTACCTTTACTAAAATAAATATAAAAATATTTCGAAAATTAATTAGAATTGTTCGTCCATTATCGATGCCTTAATTGGCTCGAGTCTCAATGACCTATGTATCCAAAAGGGAGTGCTAAAATAATCAAATTATTTTTATCCCTGAACATGACAAATATGGTTGAGAAAACACAAATGAAATATTAGGTAGTAGAAAATGAAGATAAATACCTATCTGAAACTACGAGAAACACCGTTAAGTAACTAATAATATTTCGTAGGTAGTTTTTAAAAATGTGTTAAGGAGTTTCCAAGGAATATATTTTTGATATAATATTTTGATGAATTGCAGTAGGTGACAATTTGTTGTGCGGGCGAGAGACAAATTTTGTCTTTAATTTTTCTAAAGAGATTGTAAATTTTTTACGCACTTTCTTTAAGAACTAAAAAATATAAACTAATTACTTTCTTTCATATTATTTCTATTTAGATTTATTAACACTTCAAATCTCTATTGTGAAAGATCTATTAAATATATAAACATAGTAGTAATTAAAACAATTCAATCTATCACTTTCTTGATGTTGATTGTGTCTTCTATCATAATTCCTGTCTAGCCATTGTCTCCATTGTTTGATCCTGTAGGATAGATACCCTTTAACTGCAATGATTTCGTAGCTAATTATTATAAAATAACAAGTTACGTTAGATACGAAACCTTACAAAATGTGTTCTAATAAATCTAATTTCAAATATTATACTAAATGAATTATAAAAATAATCTTATTACAAACAGGATAAGATTTGAAAACAACTTAACCTTGCGATATAACTACTGGGTATACACAACGTTCCCTTCTTAAATTGAGGTGTTGTTATCTGTAATATACCTAGATGATTCTAGATTATTGGAAAAATCTTTAGTCGAACATTGCATACATAATATTAAAGATTTTATCTCTTAACAATATTAGAATTTATAATCAGGGAGAAGAGTGACCTAAGTCCATATAGCTATCATTTTTCAGGGTTTAATTTTAATTCGACACTAACAACACTAATGACTATATATCTCACTGAATAAAAGATGATGAAGATCTTGCTCAATTCTTTCCTAGGGATGTACTCCAGTTCAATTAGAGATTTTTCTGGATAAGAGACTGAATTACGCCTCAGCTATTGATGCTTTCTTGCCTTAGATTGGTCACTATAATAACGTTTAACAATTTTTCGCAATTCTCCTTGGTTTTACCAATAATAGAGAAAATTAATAATATAATGATAATGCCTCAGGAGTGGTAGTAGGGCCCTTTTGGACTACCAACTCTTGGTGGCTCCTGTTAACGAGTAATTTGAGTTCACAAACTGATTAAATTTGATCCTGACAGGTCTTTGCACCTGTTGGCAAGAAACGTTTTCCTAATGGCAGGATTTTATTCAATAGGAGTTTATTCTAAAGGGTCTGGACTCCAATAATGCTGTGATCTATTTCAACTTTTACTTTAAAACAAGTTAAAACTTTAGTGGCGGTTTTATATGTCAGAGGAAACCGACCCTTTCGCAGTTGATATATTTAAGGTCTTTTAAATTTTTGAAAAAACGGTTCCAAAAGGGATCAATATAAAGATCATTAAATAACTTTGAGTTTGTCATCAGTTATTGCTGTGGACTTTAAGATCAAAAGTTTTTTTAAATGCATTAGTGACCTAAGACCCTCTCTCCAGTTATAATCAACTAGCAGTACCTACTAAGTACTTTCAGGGATCAGTGTCCCTATAACGAATTCCCTGTTGTTGTAGAATTAGTGAAATTATCATAGTCACTTAGAATGCAAACATTTAGCCATATTAAATTAGACAATATTTGTAGGACTCCAAATGGTTTCTTAATAAAGGATCAGAGATTAGTGGCTGATCTTTTATTTCAGTCTTCGCTTAGATCTTAAGTAGTTGGGGGTAAAGCTGAAGAAATGTGGGGTTGATACAGACATTTTTCACGCTCATAGTATGCAATAAGCTGCAACATTAGCAGTGTTAAATAAGGAACTGAACTTAGATGTCATAAAGTCCACAGCATATTGGACAAGTAAAGATTCTTTTTTGCTAAGTTTGCCAAAAATCCCACCTCCTTTTTGTGGAAATTGCCTGATTTCTTGTAGTCGCAACTATCTTTAAACATCTACGTTTACTTATCATCTGAAGAAGTGAGCGCAATGTATAATAATTATAAGCTCAAACGAACTTACCTGAAGTGAATTTTAATCTTGATTATACACTGCACTCTCTTCGAAGATGATCTCTCCTAACTCAGCCCTCCCCAGATCATCGAAGTTGCGACAGTTTGCGGGAATTACATAGAGAATTAAGTTATCATTTTTTGAATTTGAACTAGATTGCGCAGGTCAATAATAGCAAAAGCACTCCATACATGCTCATAGTAATGCGTATAATTTAAACAGAAACCATTAAAGCCTTCATATCACAACGAACGTTGTCCATCACGGTGAAAGTTATTCAATTAATTTACATTTTCGTTTGATTTAGGGTATTCGCAGAGGACGCGGAGATGATGCAGCTGTCACCCGAGCACGCTCAAATAATCCACGACTTGTACCCGGCCAATCACATGGAGTGCGTCGAAGTGTTCGAAAAATTGATCGAAAAACTGCCGTGCTACGGCGTTTTCTCCGCCACTGGCGAGCTCGCCGCTTGGATGGTGCAGTCCTATTACGGGGCCATGTTTTCCATGCAAACGCGACCTGAGTATAGGAGAAAGGGATATGGACTGATTCTTGCTAAGTACCTGACCAAATTGGTAAGAAACTACTCCTTAAAAAGTTCTACCTCTACCTGTTATTAAACATAGTTAACATAACATATTATATTAACTAATAAATTATAAATAGGTTGCTATCTATTAACATCCTTACCCATTGCTCCTTTATCACAGAAAGTATAATATTTAATTAATTCTTTCATTTGGTATTTAAATAAATGAAATATCATTACAACTGAGATCATCCTAAGACAATTGAGAACGTTTTCAAACAACTGACAGCTTCAAAAGACAATTAACAGCTTCCAGAGACAAATGACAGCTTCCATTGACAAGTAACAGCTTCCTAAGACAAATATTAACTTCTTAAAATAACTGATATCTTCCTAAGACAACTGACACCTCTTTGAGAAAAACGACAGCTTCCAGATACAATTGACATCTTATTTCTAAGGCAATGTAGAGCTTTCTAAGAGAACTGTAGCTTCCTGAGACAACTGATACAATATTGGAACTACTGATAGCGTCTTAAGAAAATTAACAGCTTCCTAAGACTACTGACACTACCCAGCAAACACAAACATGTAACTTTTATGTATCATTTACATATACTAGTTCCGTGTTACATAACAAAGTAACTAACATGTTACATAATAACTCACGTGATTTCTGTGAAAAATGACCTAATTTTGTTATATAGCAGGTTTCTTATATATGATGTAATGTGTTAAGTACATGTAAGGAACAATGTTATATATCAAAAGACATGTAACATTTATATTACCATTGTAACATTTAATATGCTTCATTATTACAGCACATATACATTACTTTTTTCATGTAACATGAATATTATAAATGTTATATAAATGAAGGTATGTAAATGTGCCGTCTCAAAATGTAGGTATTAGTTATTACTTAAGTTGGAACCATATGGAAAACTTTTTTGTTATTGGTTTTGTGAAAAAATATATTCATGATAAAAAGTTCTGAATGGACCAAAACGTAAAATGCAATCATCAGTTATTAATTTATTTAAGCTGTATACGAGGTTTGTCTAAAAATATGAATTTTACTCAAGAGTAAAGTACCTTTATTTTTTACAATACAGAAGAAAATTATAAAGTAAAGTTATTTTGAATTAAAAGTTATATTCAAATATACAATTACAGTCATTTAGCATGAAAATTCAGGTTAACTTTACTTCATAACATTCTTCTATATTGTAAAATATAAAAGTACTTTACTCTTGAGTAAAATTAATATTTTTTGGCAAACCTCGTATAGTGCTTAAAAAAATTGATATCTGATTTTAAGTTTTGGGCCATGCAGAACTTTTTATCAGGAATACATTTTTTCACAACACCAATAATAAAAAAGTTTTCCATTTGGTTCCAACTTAAGTAGACACACTGTATGACAAATACTTACAAAAAAAAGTCGAAAATATTTGGTGGATAAAGAAAAGTAATTTAAACGTATTTGTTAGGTATATCAATAATTTTATTGGTCAAATTCATAACCGATACCAAAAATGTATTATAAAAATATTGCACACAAATATAACCCAAATTCATCATAAAAATTACAAAATATCTGCCATTAACGACGATCCACGACCTCAAAATTCAGGGCCCCATAAAGCATGACCTGAAAAGAGAACAAAAATTAATATTTACACCTCAAATTAATCATCGAAATACAGCACACACATATAATAACTCAATTCCATTACAAAAACACAACATACCTGCTATTGTTCACAAAAATCCAAAAATGCCACAGGTACCTCCATAAAACGCCTATAGCCGCCATTGAACATTGAAACGCTACTAAAAATAATGCACCAGATATACCTACTTACCTACCTAAAAAACATGCGTATTTCAAGGACCGTTTGGTCAACAGCATTTATGTATATATACGCTATGTAACATTTTGTACGAAATAATTTAGTACAAATTGTTACTTTAATGTAGATTACATATAGATATATAAATTGATATAATCTTTATGTGAGGAAATTTATATAACGGATATGTAATTTTTGTAACATATATTATAATTATATACATGGTATATAACTATGGTGCTAAGTTTGAATTTAGGTGTTCGGTTCCATAAATAACACATAAAAGTGCATACAAGACAGTCTAAGTATATTTTATCCTTCTTAGTTATGTAACAGGAGGGAACATGTAACAGAATGGTTTGCTGGGTATATTGAGACTACTGGCATCATTCTAAGAAAATTGACAGCTTTGGAGACAACTGGAGACAAATGACAGCTTCATAAGTCAACTGACAGTTTTACAAAAAAAAAAAAATCATAGATTTTTCAGAGAACTGACACCTTCTTGAGATATCTATCTGGCTCCGGAGACAAATGACATCTTCCTAAGGCAATCGACAGCTTCTTATACCGACTGACAGCTTTCTGAGACAATTGAAAGATTCCTAAAACAAGTCTCAGCTTCCTAATAGAAATGACACCATATTGAGACTAATAACAGCTTTCTAAGAAAATTGACAGCTTCCTAAGATAACTAAGACCGTACTGAGACTACTGTCAGCTTCCTAAGAAATTTTACAACTTCCGGAGACAAGTAAGAAGCTTTCTTATAGTGGATTTTATTTGTTGCACTAGTCACTCGACACTGTATTCAAACTGTCATACTTGTCAAAAGTATATGCTACATGTGTGCTACTGTCAAATATTTGAAGCTACACTGAACAAATTAAATGCGATTAGTACAGAAAACTTACATCTAGTACAACAAATAAAATCCACTATTAAACAAATGACAGCTTTTTAAGACAACTGACAGTTTTCTATGAGAACTGACACCTTCTTGAAACAACCGACAGCTTCCAAAGATAACTGACATAAAAATACGTTCATTAATGATGGTTTGATTTTTTAGGTAAAAGAACGCGGTTACATGCCGTTCGTGGTAATCCGTCCCGAAAACGATGCCTCGAAGGGCCTCTACGCGAAGCTCGGCTTCAAGAAGTACTTCGAAACGGTGAGAGCCATCTTGCGGCCGCACGAGATGTCAAGCGACGCGCAAGGCGGAGGAGGGGGAGGCGGGACGCAGCAGAACGGCCATTAGGTTAATAAAATATAGATATTATCCACCGAAGATATTCTAACTCGAACAAAAAATTACAACAACAAAAAAAATCGATTGAAATACAACAAATTTGAAACAACTAATTCATAATTTATAGATCGCGACGCGCACACGTTTTTGAGCTGAAGGCTTCTAACCACAGTTTTTTACATTTTTCCTAATACAAAAAGTTTTTCGAGGATACCACCTGTATGGAAATTGTAATAAAATCGTTCGATATTCTGAAAGCATCGGGTAAATTATAAGCGACGGACGTATTGCACGTTTTAGGCATGAAACGACTTTTTGACAACGTCGCATTACAGGCTACGTGACATCAAATCTCAAAATATATAAATTCTGTATATATTTATATATAGTTTTTGAGTAACTCTAATATTAATACAACCATGCTGTATGTCAGCTGTTTTTCTCCTTATTACATAAATTTAAACTTCCCTCTCTTAAATGTTCTCTGTTAATACTTAAATATCACCATATTTTCATTTAGTAACGTCCTAACCCTGGTTACCGTCCGTATGGTGACTGGCGCCTCTGTGGACGAGGCCAAAAAGGAAAATAAGAACGCGGGGGATAGTTGGAGTGTTCTGCCAATTAAAATTTCACTCTCGTTTAAATTCTGATGCATTTTTTATATTGATTAAATACTTGTTGGTTAACATTGAATCCAAGGATAAATAAAGCCTTACAATTTCTTGTAACAGTTATTTCGTTTCATTGCTTTGTTCAACTACAATAATTATAATTTTGTTGGTATTTTCATTCTATTATATACTTATTTTATTAATTTATTAAATAATTTTTTTATATTTGTCTCAATTTTCAAATAGTCGTGCACATGCTCATCTATACTTCTAGTAAACATTATTCTGGTTCGATTGTCAAATTTTATTGTTAATCTTAATTAAATAGAGGTTCTTATAGGTACTCTTTAGTTCACAATCTATATTTTAGATGGCGTTCATTAATTTTCTTTTGCTATCTTTTTTTATTTCTCTCAAATTTCTCTGTAACTCTTTATCCATTCCCACAAGTTCTCTCAGTTTATTGAGTACCTTTAAACCTGTAAACTTCTGGCAATTCCCTACTCTTGTCAATTCCCACGAATTTCCGATAATTCGCCAATCATTCCTATTAATTTCTTGAATTTCTTTAAACCTGAAAATTTCCCTTACTTGCACATCTAATTCTGTATATGTTTTCCCTCCAAATGTCACGTTACCTACCTAAAATGTTACGTTGCAAATGTCCAAACTGTTTATTTAAAATTATCAAAACATCAATATCGTTATTTAAATACCCTCGTGAGTATTATTTAGTAAGCATTATATTCGAGTAAAATACTACAGTTTGTCTACGATTGATAGAGTTAAAACTAATGGAAGTTTTTTTCTTAAAGCATAAATAACATTACTTCAAATCGTCTATTTTTATAACGATTTTATTGCAATTTCCGCTAAAGCTAAACCCAATTTTCGTCATCAACTTTTAGCTCAAATAAACTAAGATAAAAAAAAAACAACCAGCGAAATTCATTCGTACCTAAGAGAGATGCGAATCTAAAAAGATATGGAATCGTGAAGATTTAAAAAAGAAGCCGATTGGAATGGATTTCGTTGTAAACTATACCAGTGTAGGAATAGACGACTAATTCTCTATCAAGAAAGTAGCTCGTTGGAGAGGTTGTAATTAAATTATAAATGAAATGGAGTGTACTTGCAATATAAATAGTAGACAAATTAAAACAGCAGGTATTTTAACTATGAGGAATTTTAAGAATTAACATATCAAATCTGTGTTTCGTTCTTCCCTTTGAGATGTCAGAATTTGGTTTTATTCTACACATGTTTTCCATTCTCCTTTATTGTATCCCCTTTTTTCTGCTTTCTCCTCTGTTATTTGTTATATCCATGCTTTTCTTGAGAATCATTATCAATCAAAATAAATGCGTATGTTATTTCTAAAGCTACAACCCTCTTTTTAAATATAGGAGAACAATTATAATTCTAGGAAAGCTCTCTATAGTATTGAATATGTTTTAGTCTTGCTTGTATTGATACCTTTCTTTTATTTAAGTAAACCTATAATTTTTTCGTTACTCATTTTAACACCTTTTTTCATTAAGTACCTAATCCTTATTGTACTTCAGACCATTTCATGCAAACCAACATGTATATCAATTAGACAGCTCTTGTGACTCCGTTCTGCACCATCTTGTGACTAAGTTAAAGAAGTCTCAGTAACCAAAAAATACTCCTAGATGCATTTGTTGACATACAAGGAGTTTTAGGTAACACCTTCATTAAATTAATGATAGTTGCTTGAAAACGTAAAATAGGAAACTCCATCTGCTGGTAAAGGGCAAACCATGCAATTGAATATCCAAAAGAGATGCTTCTCAGGTTTTGTTTATGATGATAACTGCCGTTTGCTTGATTATCCTTATAACTTCTTCGTTACTTCCTATACGTCTATCCCATCTTGCCTTTTAAATCTCTACCTCATCTCCATTATGCATTGTACTATATTAAAACTGATCCTAGTATGTCTCCTTGTAATACTCCATATTTAATTTCTTTTAAGCCTCATATTACGTATGTAGTTGTTCGATTTTAGTTGATCAACAAAAATTGAATGAAAAATGTAGTGAAAACCTTTGTTTCAATAGAGTTGATCTACGTTATCTTTAAACAAAAAAAGTTTGACTCAATCTAACTTTTGGATGGACCATCACGAACCGCTTGCAAGTTTAAACTTGTATTGAAATGTCTGAACTAGGCAGTCATTATGAATTGTGTAGTATGCTTTTTAAAATTAATAATAATAATAAAACAGAAATTGGTATGATGACAATTTCCTTCCACGCACTTCACAGGAGTTCTCTTTTCGTGACGCAGCAATTTCGCTCAGGTTTGGAGAGTACTTTACAAAAATAACTTAGTACTCTTCCTTGTCCTTCCTGAATCAAGCACTACTCCAATTCCTAGAATAAATTCTCTCTATGGTAGTATGTAGCCTAATATTGATGCTTCCTTAAAGTTTCAAAGGCAGCTTGGCAGTCTTCGTCCCATTATAACTCTCTTGCTTCTTCTCTAAGCCAGAGTTATTTGATGTTTATTAGTTGGTTATGGCTACTGTTTCCGTAGTAATTGACTTTATTTTGGAATAACTAATATTTCTCGGGGTTTAGCATCAGTTGGGCAGCTTAAAGTCTTTTAAAAACATCTAAGTTCTTCAGTTGTTCATCAAATGTCTTCCCCAAAACTATGATGTCGTCTAAATACACAAGGCACGTTTCCCATAAGTCTTTCAAATGTCGCAGGGGCATTATAGAGTTCAAATTGTATGACAATGAATTACAATAATTTCGATCCGGTGGTAAAGGCTGTCTCTTCTTTGTCTACTGGGTCTATTTCTACCTGCCAATATCTAGACCTTAAGTTTAAAGTAAAAATCAATTTACTTCTGCCCAATGTGTCCAGATTATCATTAATTCGAGGCATATGATAATTTTTTTCTTGCTAACATTGTTCAACTAACGCATGACGGTATTCCACAAAGATCCTCGAAGTTTCACCATTTTTTTTTTGGACCAGGACTACCTGAGAGACCCGTGGGCTTGTAGAAGCTTCTATCACCTTGTCTTCCTCCATTTTCTGAACAATCCTTTCAGTTTTTTCTCTTTCTGCCTTTGGTAGTCATCGAGCTGATTAACGAAACGGCCTGGCATCACCAATGTTACCGAACAAATAAATACTAGTCTTACTACTGCTGATCTGAAGAACAAAATCAAGACTATTAGAACAATATACCAAAACAAACATTCATTGGTATGCAAATCAATAACTAAAAAAATTTTTCAGTAATTTGTGTTCTTCAGAAACCTGGTGTAATGTGCCTGGCGTTCAGATCTTCAGTATCAAAAGATTCTGTTGATGTATATTTTTTACACGAACTCATTTTTAACCAATGCTAAAGCTGCTTCAATAATTCCGTCAACCTTGGAAATTTCAACTACTATTGGCCGTTCAAAGACTCTGAATATATAAACCAAAATTCCAAATGAATTATCTACAATGCTGCGACCTCTTGATAAGCCATTTTTTCCGTTTTGTAGATAAATGTGAAATTTCGTCAGTAGTTTTTAAATTATTTCTTTATCCATCTTTATCTTCAGCAAGGTTTCTGATGATCCCTATCTATTTCTTCTTAAAATCCTCTGACTCACCCAGAAACGACGTTTCTTTCGATTTTTGTCCATTAATACATAAAAATCTGTTCAGTTTTCTTCTAACAAAATTAAAATCATCTCTACACATTCACGCACAAGTTCATTATGACGCCATTTGTAAATTGCAACTGCTGATCAGTTTACACTGAAATGTGTGAACAAAAACTAAATTCACGTTTTATACAAGTTTTGTCGATCAACTAAAATCGATGAACTACAATCGATGAACTACAATCGATCATCTAGAATCGATCATCTAGAATCGATCATCTAGAATCGATCAACTAAAACCGATAAACTAAAATCGATCAACTAAAATCAATTAACTAAAATCAATCAACTCAAATCGAAACACTAAAGTTGACTCGTGAGACCGTGCTTTTATAGTTTTAAAATGCCATTGACTTTTGTTGATTAACTTCAATATTTTCAACAGATAAACTGCAAAAATTCAATCTTTATCGTTAAACTAGTTCTAAACGAAGTTTTGACGTTTAGATTTGAATTCAATTTGCTTTTAACTCAACTGCAATGGTTCAACCAACATTTTAATTTAATTACAATCGAACCAAACCGCTCAAAAAACTAGTAGTTAAAAAAATCGATGCTGTGAAACAAACCGTATTTTAATGGTAGAAATATTTTTGAAAATAAAACTTATTTTATCACGATACAATGATGATTTTCTATTTTAAGAGTTTAGTGAAAGTGTAGCTTTGGATGCTTGATCAATAGAGTTTTTTTTTAAGTCAGTTGGTATTAATGAAGTGGAGTGTGACTAGAAGTTGATTATGGAATATAATTTGATATCAATGTTTCTGTTTCAACCCATTGAATACATCAAAATACATTTCGTCTCAAAATTAACGCAAATTTAATATTTATCGATCAAAATAACTTTACGGCTTATCCTAAAGTTATTTTGCTAGTTTTTTTAGTGTTATTGTATTTTTTTTTTATTTAAAGCAATCTATGATGCAGGGGAACATAATATAACATTAGCGTGCCTTAAAACAATTAAAAAGAAGTATATGAATAGCTGATTGAGGAGTTGAATTACCAAATTAAATGTAAGGATATAGATTGTTCATTATTTTATAATTATTTTTCTATACTATGGACGTTAGCAGAAAATGTTATTCCTTATCAAAGTTGGCGCTTTGCTTAACACCCAAAACGTAATTGTGCACGATTTTTGTGGACTTTGAGAGTGCATTTGATTCAATCAACAGATTAAAAATAAAGTAAGGACTAAAAAGACTAATTCCCAAAAAAACTACTAAATCTCTTAAAAATTATAGATTCAGACACGGTTTTCAAACATTAATATTTCAAAGATGAGGAAACATTTTAGACCTAATTCAGATGCTAACATTTTGGCATTACCTCAGGCAAAATATGGAGTAGTTCAGTTATATTGTTCCCAAAAAGATCCATTTCGGACATTCGGAGAGATCTAATAAAATTCAGAACATTTTTATTTTTAAGAAGAATGAAATAAATATTGTCACTAAATTTGAAGAGCAAACGCCGTTGAAGTTTCTTATGCTATCTTGGAATTGGGTAGTGTCTATATCTTCTCTGGAAACAGTCAAAATATCTTACAAGTCTGGTTAGCAAAAACCAAAAAGATTCTACTCTGTCAATATACAAGTCTTTCAAAATTTCACAAGCAAATTATGTTTAAAATTAATTGCGTCATCATCCAATAGCATGATAACATTGTTAATGTTTTGAAAATGGTCCAGATCATCCAACATTTTGTCTCACGAACAATATTCTGTAACAAATCCACATCAGAATCTGATGAGTTACTTTCTATTTTCTCCAACTTTTTCTATAGTGCCCTCCTTTTGGTCTTCTCTCCAACTTTTGTCTCTTTTTTTCTTCACTTCACATTCGCTTTTAAATACTTTTTTTTCGTAGTTTTCTCCAACTTCTGTTTTCTCATTGATTGCAAATTATGCAGTGAGTTTAGCATTATCATAAATTCCATTTGGTTTACCAAGATTAAAGGCACTATACAATTCTTACGATAGAATTGGATTTGCTTCAATACAACCAGTATGTTCTTGAATATACTGCAAAAAACTGTCCACCATGATTTCTTAGTAAAGCCTATATAGCTCCAAGAACTGAACCTAATCTGTTCTTTCATACGTACCCGAAGGAAAACATATGCAGCAGGAATTTTATTTCCTACAGTAAAAATGAAGCCGCGCATTGTAACTGATGCACCAGTACTTTTGTACTATTTCGGCAATACCTTTGGGGGCCTAAAGAATTATTTCGCTTTGGCAAAAGTCATCTCAGTTTTCAATTTTAACAAGGATGTCAAACTTATATGTTTAATAGATGAGCGTTCAACGACACTCCACATAACACTGATCGCTTGTGAATATTAGGGCTTAAAATTTCTCGACTATGAGTCTTTTCAGCCTTGAACAAAATAGAACATTTTCATTGTTTTTCAACCTCGTCTGATGTTTGCCCGCAAACCTATTGATCTCATCTTTAACCATACGCTTCTTCAGTTTTCCATGGATGTCTTCGTTGCGGATGTACCACATCTATCTATCTATCTATCTGAATTAGGGCGTGGTTCAAAGCACACTTGTACTGAAGCTCTAGGCTTATTGTACCCCTCACAGTTTCTATCCCATCAGATTGATTTTCTTGATGAATTCAAGAATATGTCTGATGGGCGCTTTCGCGATTTCTTCAGGTTCCGGATATTGTACCCCGTTCCCATTTAAGGTTCCGACAGTGGCATAGTATGTGAATAGGAGTTTCGTCCCCCTCTTCACATTTTCTACATAAGGAGTCATCAGATATCCCTAAGAGATTTAGGTGTCTTCTAGAACCGCAGTGTCCCAGAAGAAGTCCTATTACGGCCTTGAGTTCGCTTCTGCTAAGGTTTAGCAGTTGATTTTGTCTGCTCGTGGATGGCCCCTCTATGAATCTTTTGGACTGTCCAGGGAGTTCCAACCAGAGTCTATGGTATTCTCTATTTATTTGTTCCTTTAACACCCATTTAACATGTTGGTATGAGATACTACATGTGGGTTCTGGTTCAATAAGAATTTTTTCCGCTCCCTTCCTTGCTAGGAGGTCTGTTTTCTCGTTTCCAAACCCTCCTTCCTGTCCTGGCACTCATTCAAGGGTGACCTTGTTATGTTCTGCCAGGGCCTAGAGGGACTGTTGGCAATCAAATATTGATTTAGATTGTACTTTTACCCTTTTCAGTGCTTTAAGGGCTGCCTGACTATCTGTCATGACGAAGATCCTCTTATCTCTAAGAGAGTCATTTAGCATGACTTTGTCGCAGGCATTTATTGCTGTTACTTTAGTCTGGAAGACTGTTATCAGTGACCCCAGGTTCAGACTAATTGTCCTCCCTGAGTTCACATGGTAAATCCCAGCTCCTGTGCTGTTTTTGATTTTCGAACCGTCTGTATACCAGATTGATTCGTTTTGTTTTCCCTATTTTCCCGGCTTTTGGCCCTTTCTGGTATTTAAATATCGAAAGGTTTCCTGAAGTCGAGAATAATGGACGTTCTATCCGATGACATTCTTAGTACCATGGCGGATTTTGTTTTAATTTCTCTAATATCATTGTGTGGTGTCCTTTTCTCGAAAGTTCCCATCCAAATCCATTAGTAAACAGCCTGTATGCCGCCGCCATAGCCTCCTTCACCATTAGGTGTAGTAGAGGAAGACCTAGCAGTAGCTCCATTGCTGCTGTGGGCGTAGTTCTAAATGCCCCTGTTATTATTAGACAGGCTAGTCTTTGCACCTTGTCTAATTTTCTGTTAGATGTTATGCTTTTAGTCTTGTGCCACCATATGACTGATGAGTAAGTTATAACAGGTACCACATACTTTATTCTGAATAACTTTGATGTTAGAATTCTTGGTGGATCCCTAGAGTTGGATGCCATAAATCCACAGGGGTTTCAGGATTTGTTTGTATATGAGCAGTTTATTGTGTATTGACAACCTGGCAAAATATCAAATGAGCCAAAACATTTGTCTGAATTTCAGATCCAGCTGCTTACATTTCTTCATCGCATGAGTTTTCCACTTTACTTCTGAATCCAAAGTCATGCCTTTTTTTCAAATGACTCAGCTGTACGATATACATTGTATGGGTCTTGAACTACAGTGCATCATTTAAAATAACTCTAATCTCATGAATGTTTATGGAAACCGGTAATATTACTTTCGTACTATTGTGATAGGAGCGCCCTCTGATAGTATGAGAGCGTTTAGTAAAGTAAGAGTTTATCCTGGTTATCAGAGATGCCAAATTGAGAAAATTTCTGAGCTAGAAACTTATAGTCACTATAGAATGTTTTAAACATATGTGTGTTTATAAGTAATCTCTGTTCTAGCAAGATTGGTAGCTGTTGAGCAACCTTTATAAAATACATGCTGCCTGGCGAGAATTTGTATAATTTGTATACGTGGGAAATACCTCATCGGTTATAATTTAGTTATAGTGGAAACCAAAAAAATCCTCTGTAGTTTTTGATGTCAGATTTACTTCCCTTCTTATAAATTGGTACTAAGTTGGAGAATTTCCAGACAGTGGAAAATGTACCGCTATCGAATGATTTTTCCGGTTTTCTCTTGCAAATATCTAAGCTATTAATTTTTGAAACCACTGGATAATAGAATTGAACAAAAGAAGCTATGATGAGTCTATTGTGGGATCGGTATTGTAGTCTAAATAGCTTGCAAAAGCAATAGTGTTTCTATATTGTTATATCGTCAATGGTTTAGCAATATCCCATATGTGCATAACTTGTGAATATTTATATTTTGGTACCATCTCTGTATCTGTAGCGTGTGGAAGGCACTTAAGCCTCATTAGGCCCATTGTGCATCCTTCTAAGATGATAGGCACCTCCTACCTCGCCCAGCCTACAGATTTAATGTAGTTGACAACGTCGCCAAGAAGTGCTTCTCTTATATCGGCCGGTGTTAGCCGATACTCGCCGAACACAAATCTTCTAATATATGAGAGCGTCGAGCAATCGTAAAGAATATGCTCGATGGTCTCATCTTCTTGTTCGTACCCTCTGCAGAGTGCGGATTCTGACAGCCCCATGATATGGAGATGCTTCCATACTTGGCAATAACCAGTCAGAATGCCTGTGACTAGGCGCAGATTCTGTCTAGTCATAGTCAAGTATTTATTTGCTGCAGTGTTGTCAGGATAACTTAAGAGTTCTCTGGCAACTCTGCAGCTTCTTGTTTCATCCCATCTTTCCTTGAATTTCATAAGGGAATGTTCTTTAATTAGGTCTGTCACCTAGTGAATCAGCAAGACGTTACCTTTCAATGTGGCGCGGCCTTTGATCCATCTTAAGATGACCACATTGTTGATGGATACTTCGACCAAAGCTTCGTGACATTCTAGTACTAACCCTGAATAAATTCGTGGTCTGTTTAGGGTGAGTAGTGCTTGTCTGCTATCTGTATAGATGAGAATGTTCCTTCCAGCGATATTCTTTCTGGTTATTTCTTTTGCTGCTATGAGAATCCCCGTTAACTCTGTTTGAACTACACTGGCACTATTGCTCACAGCCCATTTTATTTTGGTACCATAAACGCCATCTAGTTACTCCCTGCAAATTTAAAATATCTCCTGTTTATAGTAAGCTGTTAAAATATATTGTCACCTAATAATGTGTGCTCTTCTACAAGAACTTCTAGGAAGTTTTACTGAAAATATAGTGATTTTACATATAGGAGACGATGTCATACGGTTTGGCAGACCAAAACTTTTAGATGTGCGCTAGTAGATCCTGAAATGGCGTGTAAAAGAATACGATGCACTTTATTTACAGTTTTATTTACATCACAACGGAACTTATGTCAGGCCACTTATGGCAATGTCTAGGGATACTTAAGACCTAGAACATTTAACACCAGGTCATTTTTTAATCGGAGCTCCGATAACGAGCTTTACCTGATGTTTCAGAAGTTTCAACAAACAGCTTAAAATTTTGGAAGTTACGTATCCAAATGCGGCAACAATTTTGAAAAAAATTACATCTAAGTAACACAACTTCTAAATGGCTCAAAGATGTATCTTTAAGAGAACGGATGATAATGTTCCGTCTTCTCAGTGGCCTATGGCTCGCAAAATAAAAATAAATCCGGCATGAAGGACCAAAAATAATGTGGGCAACATTATCTGGATGGATAAGAAGTAAACTTTAGGTTTATAGGGGTTTGCTGGTAGATCCTAAAATCGCGCGTAATTACGTTTTTGGTGTTAAATGAAGCCAATATAATCTTCTGTTTTTAAATTTGTTTATTATACTTATTATTAATTGTTATTTTTAATATTAGGGGTTTAATTTGTCAAGGTATAATAACATTCAAAGAAAATGTTTATCATAAAGCTATGCTTCCACTAACCAAATTCCATAAGGTAAGTTTCAGAATTACTAGAGATAACTATAATTCTTATTATGAACACCCAAAGATCTGTCACCAATGCATATTAGAATTAAATAAAAGATTCTATGCTTTAATTGCTTCAAACTAACCTTCAAATTGAGGAATTTATTCAAAAAATTAACTTGACGAGTTTTACAAAGTAGAAGATATTACTTATAGCTTTTTGGAACTTTTTATATATAAGTAGAATGTAGTTTGTTAGCTTACCAGTAACCGTTATGACTGTGATAGAATAATATTTTTCTTGGACGACGTTGTAAAATGAAAATATTATTTCGTAAAAGCGTACAGGGTGGGCAAAATGCATAGGTATGTAAAGATAATATACCAAATTTTTCAAATTAAAAATTGTGTCTTCCTGTTCCGTCTAGTGTGTTTCCATCCTTCCATTTTGTTCCTTAGTTTTTGGCCTAATTAATCGAAAATGTGATATCCCAAATAACAAAACGCTAATGATCAAATTGTCTGCATTAGTTTTTTTGTTAGTGTAAATATAATAACGTTTAATTTTTGGCTCAAACTTAAAGAGAAGCATTTTTGCCCTCCTTGTATCATATTTGTAATTTCTATTTTGTAAAATAATTTTAAATCCTTGAGTAGACATTTTGAAAAACTGTTTATCCTTTGTTGAAAAAAGAAATCTTGGGAAGTACTTTTGTTTTTAACTTAGATATTAATTTAGCTTTATTTAAATGTAAATGATTTGCGATTGGCTGGAGAGGATATAAGAATCCACGTCTCATTTTTATTTAAATACTGTATAGCTTACTGCGTACTAAAGATCTTTGTCTTTGCAACCTATGGCTTCTTCATAAGTGGATCCTCCTCCATAACAACTTCAGAGACGATGTCGTATGGATCTAAAAATAAGAAAGGCAAAGAAAGATAAAAAGTTGTATATTTTGACGATCTAGAATCTAGAAGCTGCATAATTTCGTGACTTGGACCTGCTCTCACCGAATTGGCCTCTATCACATCAGAAACTTTTTTCGTTGATTTGAAGCGGTCACACCAATGTACATGCTTAACCAGTGTATCACGCCACATATAACATAGGGCCAATCTGTCCCAATACTAATCGTGGATTGTATTAATACCTGTGTGATCCATAAAGGCCACCTCTTACCAAACACATTTTATTTTAACACCGAATAAAACTCAGTCTAATTTAATACTAATACATCGTTGACAACCAAAGCTCTTTTTATATTGTTTACAATAACATCATTTCTAGGAAATTTATTACTTAAACCAAGTTGAGTTTTATTTTAAACAAAGGCGGGCACAGCGTCCCTTTCTACTGTTAGAAAAACATGTTGTTACTTTAACTGGTGATAACGCAGTGAAGCCGATGATGAGCCGGCCAAGCGAGCTTGAGGCTGACGAAATAATTTTTAACCAGTGAGGAGTGGCTGACGCGCATGGTGTACACATCTGTTATCGGCTAAGGGATAGCTGTAGGGGTTAATATTGTTCTGAAATCAGTATTCCTAAAGGTATATTGAATGTAATGTTGAATGTTATGTTGAATGTATTTCAACATCCTCCCCCAAGAAAGGTGGGCCGGGGAGTGAAAGGAACTACCCAGCTAGCACAAAAACAGCCCATCTACATTAATAAGCTGTAATTTTAGGCTTGCATGCAATGTACTTTTTTTATATAAAAAAATCTCATGTTTTTTAGCAAGATCTGTTATACTCAGAGCATCATCTGTAATTTCTCTCAACTTTTCTTCTGGGTTTGCTCTTGAACTCATGGTTAGATTTCCAGGCACATATAGCCTGTTGAAGAGAATAAACTGTTTGATTCTGATTTTTTTAATATAGATATACCATGTATCTAGCTATAGATTCACTTTTTATGAAATTTCAGGTGTTATGTATTCTTCTTTAGACAATTCTGTAGTATTTACTTTTGTATCTAAAATTCTTATAATGTCATCAGAATATGAATATATAATAATTGCCCAGATTTAGTTTTGTATCTCTTTTATATGTATTTGGTGTAAAATGTTACTGGTCATTCGGATAAATATTTATCTTCTCGTTTACAATGATTTATCTGCCATTGTTTGTTTTTATTGTAATTAAAAGTGGGTACCTAATGAATGAAATATTAAGTAATCCCTATACCTAATCCCTACTACTCACATATGGCTACCCTCACTCCAAATCACTCCAAATGAAATATTAAATTTACACCAGGCATTATAATCTGAAACAAAGACAATGGTTTAGAAAATAGTTTTCTATTTTACAGATGACCCTTATCAAATAATTTATAAAATAAATTCTCCAAGTTAAAAAATAAACCATCAAAAACATGACAAATGACAAGAAAAACTGTGACATTTGACATAAACATAAACGTTTCGAATTCAGATTGTGATGTTCACAGTACTTCTTGTAGATACTTTTTTTTAGCAAATAACTTTATTACGTTGTGTTAACATAACATGTAGGTTAAATAGGTAAATAACTAATAGAAGTTAGGCTAGATTTTGATTTCTCTTAACAACCTCTCATGAACGTTGCATTTATGTTGTATAGTAATGTTATTAGGTTCTCTTAAAGCAACAATGCCGAGAGGCTTGACAGCGTTATGTGCTAGCTGAGTAAGTTGTAAATAAGTTGATTAAAAAGAAAATTTTTATGTGTATTGTAAACATGTAATGTTGTTTGAGCCACCTTGTAAGAGGTATGTGGTTGAAAATGGTAAATAATAGAACTTTTCACTACTGCTATTGTACCGTTTAATTTCACCATTCTGCTCTTGAGTAAAAGGTGCGGTGGTTTCCAAAATAATTTTTTTCTAAGTGACTTTGTAATTCATGAATCACAAACTCTCTACTGTTATTACATCGAACGGTTTTAGTTGTTTCCAGTCTGATTTTTCGTTATTTTTCGAATTCTAAGAATTTGGCATATGTATCATTATTAGGTTTAATAAAGCAAACCACTTGGAACAAAATAGCCTCCGTTTTCAGTTTCTGTAACACTTTTGTTGAAAAGTTTTCTAGACTGTTTATCATATTGACAAGTCTCGCAGAAAAATTATTTTATATTGTTGATTTTTATACCTGGAATTCGTCCATCGTTTACATTTTTCCTTTAGCTCCTAGAATACTTGAACAACTATTTCAAGGAGGAGGGGATCACCTAGGTTTGGTTCACATAGTATGGTTTTTTGGTGAAACCAATTTTGAGTTCTTCTCTATCGACAGGATGCTAAGTAGGGCTAAGACAGTATATCGTATCCAAGGTGATGTTGGTGAACAAAAACTAATTAATGGGGCAGTTGTTAATATAACAGCTTCCCTCCTAATTGACCCACATAAGGTCTGGACATTCCTCTAGTCGGAATCGCACACCAGAGTAGAACTTTATCAATAAATTTCGCTTTTTCTTTATATTTTATAATATTTGGGTACTCTTCTATAACAATCTCATTTTCAAAATGTATCTGTTAGACCTTGTGAAAATAAAATAGATATTTTGGATTATCTGGATTTACTACTAAAGGATGCTAGAGCTCGTTCTATAATTACACAATGTGTAACTGATCGTCATTTGGAGTAATATTAAAGAGTCAAAGATGCTTATCAAATAATGACTGCGTTAGAAAATGTTTTAGAAAGAAAAGCTCTTTTTCGAAGCTATTCACCAGAAAAAACTTTTTTTTTAAGTTTTAAAGATAATTTACAAGATGATTTCATAGTTTTATGGATTGATCAGGAACTAAACTTGATGACAGTGATAAAATTTGTCACTTGCTGATTACAGTGCCAGGCACATATGATACTATGGAGAAACAAATCGCAGTCACAGTGTAGGAAGAAAATACATGTTTCCATAATCAAAAACCTAGGGAGTATTAGAGAACTAGCATTCCATAATCTACATAGAACAAGAATGTTATGTTGAGAATAGGGTGTTAATACACTGCGAACTAAAAGATCTATTGTGCCCCCTTCTGTCGCTAATGCATCAAGGGAAGGTATCAATGCCTATAACGACCCTTCCAATCTTATCTTCTCAAGGAAGTGTAGGATTTGGAGTGGCTTCAAGTTAGGAAAATCTCTCTCTTCTATTTGATATCCTCCTAGGTATAGTGCCCTTGGATTCTGGAGTGCTACACATTCAGTGTACACATTGAGTGTTACTGCCCGATGCCTTTTTAATCTCTCCTAATATTATATTACTGCTGATACCGCAGAATGGCTCAGGTCCTACAAAGAGTGTTTGAGCCCCTTTCCTTGCAAGACTATCTGCAATCTCGTTAACCTGTACCCCGTTATGTCCCGGGACCCAAGTGAGAGTAACTCTATTTTTCTCGCCTAGCTCATTTAATTGTTCTAAGGATCTCCAGACCATTTTTGAGCTGATTATATAAGAGCTCAGCGCTTTGATGGCTGCTTGGATATCGGACATGATGATAATTTCTTATCTATGATAGTTTCTCTCGATGTCAAACTGGATACACTTCTCGATGGCATGAATTTCCGCCTGGAAGATGCTTGGGTATTTTACCAAGCTTTGGGAGTGCTTGGTTCTCGGCCCATACACTCCTATTCCAGCTCCTTTTATGGTTTTGGAACCGTCCGTATACCACTGAATAGCATGTCTTTCGGTTGAAAGCGCGATGGATTCTTGGATCCATTCTTTCTTGCAGTCCAGCTCGGGTTTTAAAATTTTTTACAAAACTGTACTTCTTCAGGATTTCATCATGGGGCATGTTCCAGGTATGTTTAGTCCTAAAGCAAGTAAAATTTCGTCTGATTACTCCGTTCCTGATCATTCTATATCGTGTTCTTTTTGCCACATTCTCCATCATCAGATGTAGAGGGGTGAGGTTTAAGAGGCTAGTCTTTGTACTTTTGAGATATTAGCTCTCGTAGTAGCTAAACTAGTTCTGTTACTCTACTATATAGCCCCGTAAGTGATGATTGGTCACACTATTGCAGTATACATTTATCGCAGTATGTTTGGGTTACATCCCCATCGTTTACCCGCAATGTTTTTGCATAATATTAGGGCTTTTGTGGCCTTATTTACTACTTCCTTTTCATGTGTGTTCCAGAGAAGTTTGTTGTCCAGGGTTAGGCCTAGATATTTGACTTCATTTTTCCATTCTATATCTATCTTGTCTAATTTAACCATTTTGAGATTAAGTTTCCTTTTTCTAGTGTAGTTTTTTTGTAAGTCCCACTTCACAACACCATCTTTTGGTATGTCCTAATCCTCGTTGGACTATATCACAGGATATTTTTAAATTTGCCTCTAGCAAATATAACTATGTCGTCAGCATAACCTTGACAGGGAATGCCGAGGTCAGTCAATCTGCATGAAAGTTCGTTAGGCTCCATATAAGTGGGGACTGGACTCCTCCTTGTGGACATCCTCTGGTTGTGCAGATGGAGATGGTATCCTGCCCTGTATGTGTCTCTGCAGTTCTCGTAGATAACAGCTGAGCCATCCATCTGGATGTGATGTTATTTACTTCTCTGTATGCAAGTGCTCTTGTGACAGATTCGTATGGCGTGTTGTCAAAAGTTCCTTCTCTCTCTAGGAAGGCACACACGACCGTTTCTTTGTTTGTCAGTGCATCCTGAAATACGTCAGTCAACTGTACCAGGGCAGTTTCTGTAGATCTTCATGCTTGGTACGCGTGTTGGCTGTGGTGAAGTGGCACCCTCTCCAGAACTTCCGTTCTGATAAAACAAGAAGCTAATGGTTTAAGTTGTCGAAGCCAAGACATCAATGGAAAAAAGGAAACATAGTTATGGAAGTAGATCTAGGTGAAAAAATTATAGTGAATATAGCAGAAGAAGAGGGCGATGATAATTAGGAAGATGAAATATTATTTGCTGCACTTAATGCAGAGATGGAAGTAAAATTTAATATAGATAATATTAATTTCGTCATAGAAGAACAAAGTATGACTGACTAATAGCAGAAAAGAAAGGAACAATTAGAATAAATTAGGGAAACAAAAAAAGTTATATTGGAAGCATTAATGATTGAAGATATTACTTGTAATTTACTATCGTAAGAAAAATAAATCAATATGGTTATAAAAATAAAGTATAGATCTCAGACAAGAAAGGCTTAGTCATGATGTATAACTTAGTATGTAGCCACTTTTTTAAGATCATCAAAAATTATTTGATGTGGTAAATTGTGGATCTTTAATAAGTTCTTTTTGTGGATCTTTCAGTTTTTCTAAGTCGTGTTAAAGCCTTCACAAAACGTCTCCATAGCTCCAATTTGGTCTGCAGGGTAGGAAGTATGGATTCTTGATCACGTTTTGTTTTTCTTGACTCATGTCGTTTTTAAAGGCTAATTTCTGTTAAACCCTTGTTGATCCTTGAGTTATGTTGAAAATGAGTGATATGACGTAATCGCCTTCCACTGCAACCCAGATGAATCTATTGTGACTCATTTTTAACATATTTCTCTGTACAAGCCACACCTTTTGATAAAGGCCATGGTTGAATTGGGTAAAACCTGTTTAAAATCGGTAGGCTCCAGTCGGGTGATTCCGAATTCCTTGAACTTTGTTATATTTTAACACCTTAAAGACCATATGCACCAATATAGTATCTGCTCACACCACGTGACCCTATTGAGGCACACTGAATTGTGATATTTAAAGTATGGTGGATCTAACAGAAACGCCTGTGCCGATTGAGTGATCTGGTCTCTGGGAAACAAAAAGTTGCCTTGGGTTGGATGTTCTATATGATAGTATTTACAGAAAAGTCGTTCTTCTTATCAATGCCGTGGTTGTGTTCAAAGCAGTAACTTAAAACAAGAATTTCGCGAAATAGTCGTTCATGCAAATTCGAGATGGATGTTCAGTTGGTTATAAAAAGTATATAGTAAGCGAAGGACGGTTATCAGCTATGAACAAACATTAAATTTTGACTTTTATGTGGTTTTACTTTTCAACAAATGATAAACAGTTTTTTACTGATAATTTGACTTCCTTTGTGTAACAAAAGAAGAAATATTTTGTCGTCAACAAGAAAACGGGTGATACTACTACCGGAAAGGGCAGACTTTGGTTACGTAGAATGGTGCCAAAACTAAAAAAGTTTATTTCAATAAATAAATAATATAGGTACAATATGTCTACTTAAGTCGACACCGTATTGGAAACTTTTTTATTATTAATTTTATACAAAAAAGTAATTCTTTATAAAAAGTTCTGAATAGTTAAAAATTTCAAATAGAACCATCAGATATTAAAATTTATCCCTCATGTACGAAGTGTGTCGAAAAATATGAATTTTATGAAAGAGTAAATTATTTTTATTATCGAAAATTAATATTAGGAAACGTTGATCATAATTGAAAACTAGGACCAGATATCCAATATAATCCATCCATCATTAAAAAAAACCATCTTTAATATTTTTTGCCATATGGAAAACAATTTTTTTTGCTATATAGATAATATTGCATATCTCACTATAGTTTTAAATTCTGATCAACTTTTTCTTATATCAATTTTCGATATTATTGCATAAAATTCATTTTTCGGTAAACCTCGTATATAACTAAAAAAACTTTGAAATCTGATAGTTGTATTTTAGATTTTAGACCATGCAAAACTTTTTAATTGGGATTTCTTTTTCATAAAACAAATAAATATTAAAAAAGTTAAAAATAATTAACAATAATTATCACAAAAGAGGATGTTAAAACCGCGACGCCACTGGTATATATTTTGTGAATGTGCGATCTAGTTTTAAACATTTTACTCTTTGGCACTGTTCTACGTTTATGAACCAAAACATAATGTATTCTACGTAGAATTTAATTTTTAATATAATTTAATATTTTTTTTAATTGTCTTTTTTATTCCATGTGTTGTATATTCAGAGAATTTGAATTAAATATTATATTTTAAAAGAAAATATAATAAGTAGTTTTATTCAAAAGCATTGCTCCCCATCCAGTACATTGCAAATATAATTCACTTTTGGCACCAACAAGCAGCTCATTTCGGCACTACTGAGCATGTGCATTGGGGTGGAACGAATTTTTACAAATTCGATTAGCACTATCTACCAAAAGTTGCCTTTACTAGAGCAGGTAACCTGTATTTTTTTCGAAATTTTTGTACAATTTTTTATTCCCCGCCATTGAACCAAAAATAATGCAGATTTAAGGGTTTTAAAAATAGAAAATACCTATGCAGAAATTGATTTTAATCGATTAATTATGCATTATATTTCGCATATTTGTTTTCCAAAATATAAACACACTGTAGTATATTTTCGGTATACGATTGTGTCCACAACGTTTAAAGAGATAACTTTTTTCCCATCGGTATGCCGTCGAGCCAGTCTGTGAATCATAATTTATCGTTGTGCGAAAGTGTTTACATGGACTTCCGATTCTGACACCGTGGTATCAACATCGAGATGGCGGTCTCAGAATTGGAAGTCAAGTTTGTATGTTTCCGGAAAAATCTTTAACAAAATCGGTCATCGAGAAGTGAATAATGTCTTATGTGTTTAGTATTTGTGCGTTAAAATTTTTGATTTTGTATGTAAATGATATAAAGTGAATATAGCTAATAAATTAAATTAATATGATAGAGAACACGTTCTCAAGTTTATGGTCCAATTAGTAGAATGTCAGCCCCTGATATTTTTAAATAAGTATAATCAATGGAAAAGAGTGAACATGGATTTTTCAATGGGAAGATGGAAAATTCCAGACGTTCTTTAATGAATATTCCCGTAATATATAAGCTAAATTACCTGCTCTGGCTAAATACCTTAAGGATGGAGGCCAAAAAACTAACGGAAGAAGAAGAAAGTGTTCACATCGTATCGGTGCCAGTTAATAAAATAATTGTTGAATTTAATTTAAAATAAACGTGAAAATGCCAAAAATGCCAAAAGGAAGTTATTGAAATTGTTGAAAACACTAGAATCTACAACTTTTGATTCTGAAAGTAAGTAGCATATTTTTTTATTCAAAATAGATAACAAAGCAGAAAATGAACACGCAGTAATTTTACTTTATGTAAATTACATAAGATATCACTCGAAATGTGACTTTATGTGACACAGGATGATACGTGGAAAGTTTTGAGTTAGTTTTTTAATGATTATTTGAACTTTTGCATTCTGAATTAATGGAATTTATCGAGAAATTATACTTTATGTTAATTAACTCGTATTTTTTTTGCACATGGGTTGCTGATAGATTTTATATTATCCAACCATATAAAAAATATTGTGCTTTTGTACAGTATATATACAGGTCACACGATAGTTATACTTTATGTTAATTAAATCGTATTTGCCGACGATCGAACCCTACGACATAAATTCAATAAAACTATTCACCTTTTCAGGTGAGTCTGATGTGTCATCGATGGGGTCTAATGCCGACAGTGATAATGGCTCACAATTTAAAGAAGTGCAAACAGAAGTTCATTCAACAAATATTCCTAATCCTAAAGCACACACTGACGATAATATAAAGGCCTTTTTGGGTAAAATCCACAATTAGTGACTGGTCTTGGTGAACCTCTACATGAGGAAATTGCGGGCAGGTGGCTTCATTACCTAACAAATGGTATCGAAAAAGAGGAAGCTAAAGTATTAGTAGAAAAGTATAGAACTTCCTTAAATTGTAATTTGCTGATAAGCCCAGAAACCAACCCAGAGGTATCAGTTCTTCTTTCTGAGTCATAAGGGAAAACCGACTTATATCTAACAAAAGTACAAAATTTGATGTGTAAGAGTCTATGTGCTTTGGGTTAAGTTCTGAGTAGTCTCTTGGATGATTCCTCATAAAACGAAAACGCTTCAAAGATGGCAGATGCATCAAAATTAATAACGGGCGTAATACACAATATTAGTATGCACAGGCGCTTCAATATGTCATCGGTGCTCTCTTTAACGGCAAAAAAGGTGATAGAAAATTTGCCCACAGACAAAACTCTATTTAATGTGGAATTTCAACCAAAATGTAGACCTGCACGTGAAGTAGAAAAAACTAGCAAGGAAATTCAAATATTAAATCCGAAAAATAACTATTTAAACTCCAAGCGCTCGAGTTTCAAGCAGAGGAAAAAATAGACTCCCAGTTACAACAGGGGGTCAATCCCATTCCAGAGAAAAACGCGAGAGTACAAGAACCCAAAGCAAACCCGGTATCAGAACAGCCGCCGCTAACGGTAAGAAAGTCGCAGGGCGATTAAAATTATTTATCCAAAAATGGAAAAAAATTATAGTAAACAAATTTATTTTGAATACTGTTCAAGGCTACAACATTCCTTTTGCTAGAGTTCCTAAACAAAAAATATCTCCTCGTGAGCCTATGTTTTCTAAATTAGACCATAAAAATATTAAAACCGAAATTGACAAACTTCTAAAATTAGGTACAATACGCAGATGTAAATATAACAAAAATCAATTCATTTCTAAATACTTTTTAAGAAAAAATACCAAATGGTTCCTTCAGGTTTATCCTAAATCTAAACAATTAAATGCATATACTTCACCTCCTCATTTCAAATTAGAAGATCATCGAGTAGTTCAAAATATTCTATATAGAGATTGCTACGCATGGCATCTATTGATTTAAAAGATGCATATTTTTTAGTCCCAATAGTTAAATTACATAGGAAATACTTAAGATTTATATTTAATAATAACATTTTTGAATTCTGCTGTCTAGACGACCTTTTAATTTTAGGGGAGTCAGAGAAACAGTGCGCTGAAAATATTACTTTTTCTATAAAACTATTTAAAGAATTGCGGTTTATAATTATTAGAGATAAAAGTAACTTAAAACCCTCAACAGTTTGCACTTTTTTGGGCTTCGTATTCAACTCCCAAGAAATGTCAATTTCAATGCCCGAAACTAAAAGAATAAAAACCAAAAAATATTATAAAAATTTAGAAATAAAAAACATTGTTTAATCCAAAATCTTGCTATGTTAATTGGCACACTTATATCCCTTTGTCCGGCAGTTACATATGGGTTTTTGCACATTAAATTATTTGAATATTACAAGTATATCGCTTTAAAAAAAGAGGAGGGAGATTATCTTTCCCAAATGCAACTTCATCCTACACTTAAATCAGAATTTAACTGGTGGATTTGCAAAATTCTAAACATTTTCTTAAAAATTCAGTGGCAAATAATGAAAGTACTGGGGGAAACTAGAATCAAAACGATTTAAAACGACACGTTAATTATTTAAAACTACTTGCATCTTATTATGGTTTAAAATGTTTATCGAAAAAGGACCCCGCAATAATCTTATGGAAATTGGGTTTCTGTCAAATTGTCTGAATTTTTGATATGTTGTAGATTTTGTCATCCTGAACAAAAGTCTCCATGGGAACAAAGAAAATGAATATTTTGGCAGCTACGGGGCTGCCAAAGCTCCCCTGACCCGTTGCAAAACTATTCATTTTCAATACTATTTACAGATGTCAAAAGCATATTTTAATTATTCTAATATATAGGGTAATGTTTTTGAGGTCACTAGATTCAACCCTCATGTCAGATTGGACAAATTGACCGTTGACAGCTGTCAATACACTGTCAACGAAGAATAGAAAAGTATTCTTTGTTGACATTAAAAGTTTGGGCTTTTGAGGGAACTGAGTTCAATTCTAATCTCAGATTGGAAAAATTGACAGTGGACAGCTGTCAATTTACTGATAACGAATAATAGAGAAGTAAATATTCTCTGTTGACATTTAGAGTTTGGGTTCTTGAGGTCTCTGAATTCAATTCTCATGCCAGATTGGCAAAATTGACAGTTGACAGCTGTCAATTGACTGTCAACTCAATGTCAACAGAGAATATTTACTTCTCTATTCTTCTTTGACAGTGAATTGACAGCTGTCAAACTGTCAATTTTTCCAATCTGACATGAGAATTGAATTCAGCGACCTCAAAAACTCTAACTCTCAATGTGAAAAGAGGGTGTTTACTTTTATATTCCTCGTTGACAGCGAATTGACAGCTGTCAACGCTCAATTTGTCCAATCTGACATGAGAATTGAATTCAGCGACCTCAAAAACCCAAACTCTCAATGTGAAAAGAGGATGTTTACTTTTATATTCCTCGTTGACAGTGAATAGACAGCTGTCAAACTGTCAATTTTTCCAATCTGACATAAGAATTGAATTCAGCGACCTCAAAAACCCAAATTCTCAATGTGAAAAGAGGATGTTTACTTTTATATTTCTCGTTGACAGTGAATTGACAGCTGTCAACGGTCAATTTGTCCAATCTGACATGAGAATTGAATTCAGCGACCTCAAAAACCCAAACTCTCAATGTGAAAAGAGGATATTTACTTTTATATTCATCGTTGACAGTCAATTTACAGCTGTCAACTGTCAATTTTGCCAATCTGGCATGAGAATTGAATTCAGCGACCTCAAGAACCCAAACTCTCAATGTCGATAGAGAATATTTACTTCTCTGTTCTTCGTTGACAGTGAATTGACAGCTGTCAACTGTCAATATTTCCAATCTGATATTAGAATTAAATTCAGCTCCCTCAAAGCCCAAACTATCATTGTCAACAGAGAATATTTACTTCATTGACAGTGTATTGACAGCTGTCAACGGTCAATTTGTCCAATCTGACATGAGGGTTGAATCCAGTGACCTGAAAAACATTACCCTACATATTACAATAATTAAAATATGCTTTTGACATCTGTAAATAGTATTGAAAATAAATAGTTTTGCAACGGGCCAGGGGAGCTTTGGCAGCTCCGTAGCTGCCAAAATATTCATTTTGGCACTTTGTGCCCATGGAGACTTTTGTTCAGGATGACACAATCTACAACATATCAACATATCAAAAATTCAGACAATTTGACAGAAACC